TTCCTATTCTGTTACATTCATTAACAATCACACCAATAACCGCTTTACGATCATGTTTCATTTCATTTTAACATGAATTGACTTTGGAAATATTGAAAAAAGCACACAAAATTTCCTATGAAAAAAATCTGATTTGTTCGTTTTTTTGTATCTCTTTCTTTCTTTCTTTTCATCATAAATCATTTATCATTGTTTCAGTCCGAAGTCTTCACAAGTCAAAGTCCAGTGCCTTATCTCTCCAATGATAAGAATCCAATTTTTTCAGAATCTCTCACGTGACAGAGATAAGCACTGTACTCGCGTTTGTCTCAATTCCCCCCCCCCCCCCCCCCCCAAAAAAAAAAAAAAAAAAAAAAATTGAAAGGAAATTGATTGATGTTAATATCATATGAAAATAAATTAAATCATATGAAAACGCCTTATAAACAAATATGATGACCATAACAAAATAAAATAAAAAGTCACCAAATTCAGTTCCAGCATATGTACTAAACCATCCTTTCAAGATGGCGTTAACTTAATATCAATTTTATTTTGGGATATTTAACAATATTTTTTACTTTGAACAACAAGTATTTTTTATTCGGGTACCCTCTCCAAACCACTTTACTTTCGTATTTCATTTTCACATTTTCCTACCTCAAACGTGTGAAATAAGGAGAATTGAAAGGTTCCTTTGTTTCTATAAGTAAATATTTGTTTGAATATCTACAAATTTGCCAAATATCATATTACGTATGCACTTAAGATCTTCACCTCCAATCTTCATTCGATAGGTTTCGTACTTAATATTTAACACAAATATTAGTAATATTTTTGTGCAAAAAACGTTTTTCTATTGTTCAGTTTTATATCATTTTTTCTTATCTAGCATCTATATCATTGTTTATCTCAATTATCAATACTTGAACTACAATGTTTCAATCCATTACCAAATCTCTCGTGTAACAAAACAGATTAGAGAAATTAATCACTGTTAGAAAGAAACATTATATTGAACTTGCAAATTGTTGTTGTCAATGTCAACTTCGAAATATATAAAAAAAAAAAACATAGTATTTGATTGAGAATGATTGAAAGTTCATGTATCTGTGTCAATTTTTTATTTGATTGAACATCGATCATTTTATGAAATCGTCAACAAAAGATCTATTGATGTATGTTTAATTACAAAAAAAACACATATATCGTTGTTTTATTACAAAAACATATATGTTTTGATGTTTACATGTACAAAAGTACACTTTTTATTGATCTTTTTGTCTCATTAGTATAGTTTACGGCCAGGTTATGCTTTCTTGGTTTTGAGACATTTCACTGTTAAAAAGAACGCTGACTCTGTTTTCTGAAATACTTTTAATCGAGCTCCCTGCTTATGAATTATAATCACGTATTATTTATGAATGAATTTAACTAAGTCTATGATGAAGTACCTCCATTAGTATATTACCCGTTCCTATGTGTTGTATTTTCTCTACGCTAGGACGCGGAATAAGAACTGAGTTAATTCATATCAACTATTACAAAACATGTTACCTAACAGATAATAAATTTTGTTTTTTTACAATGATAGATCAGCGGTGTCACTGAGGACATTGTTTTAGTGTCCTCGTCATGTATCACGTGATTTTACACAAACAAAGCAAGGTGTTGGACCTAAGACAGGGAGGGGGCGGTTCCGTGCCTAGAGAGACGAGCACCTTAATACGTGACATCATACCTTCGTAGGTGGGTTAAGTGGTGTTTGTGGAATAATTAATTATGTCACCTGCCATGCCCTAACACGGTCTCGAAGTGTATATAAGACAATCTAGTTTTTAGAAATTCAGTCAAACGAAAGACAGCAAACAAACAGTGAGGGGAAAATGAAGGTTATACTAAGTATCGTTGTTTCTGCTACACTCATAGGTAAGTTTCTGAAATAGAGAATTTGATTATTTCTTGTTCCTACTATATCAAGATTGAGAAAATGTGAATTGCTTGCTATAATAATATCTAAATATAGTTTAGGTTTATTGTTTGTTTAAACGATTTAACGTTGGCACGTTGAGTTAGTGAGTATAGATATTGTTTTTAATTATAATTATTGTTGAAATTATAGCGAGTTAAAATTTAAATTAATTGCTGATCGTCGTACTTTAAACATTATTTGTCAACTACAAACTGTAATTACAGTTTTTGCCGTATACAATTTATTGCGTGTTTTATTTTTTAAAAAGGGTCCATTAGATACAAAATGAATAGGAAATAAAATGATTTTCACATCAAAATCTTGTAAGTCTTTTTAATTCTTAAGCTTATTGTAAAAATGTAAATAATTAATTCAAATTCAAAAGAATGTTATCAGTTTTCATTAACTTCAGAAAGATTTCCAGTCAGTTTTCTCTGAAATAACGATTTTTGTTTCTTTTTATACTTCAGTAACAGCTTTCGGTCAAGCATGTGATTTACAATTACTTGGCACTTGTCTTCAATCTGCTTTAACGGAATGGCCTTCATTTCACGATTTTATTAACCATTCATCACGAGGTCAACTACCCAATGTTACGTCAGACGAGTTAGCAACACTCTGCAAGTAAGTAGTTATCTTTGTAACTAAAAAATTACCCGTCTTTTCTCAAAATTAAATTCATGCATTGCACATTATTTCTTTAATGTTTTCATAAAAATATAAATAATGTTTGTATAGAATATATTAATAAAATATTTAATAGTTTTTTTGTTACATTTTCAATTTTCAATAACTAAAATGGACAAATTCGTATACTCGGTTAAATTAACATTAAAATCAAACTCAAGAGATACTTTTTTTGATATTTATACGCTTCGTTACGCATTAAATATAATCTAAGTTGTTTCAATTTATTTGCAGTATAACCACTGAACTTGGTGAATGTGTTGGAAACGGCCTTGCAGATTGTCCCAGAGAGCAAGCTCTCCCGTTCGAGTTGATAATGTCTTCCACAGCTTTCATATGCAATACCAAAGATGGTAAGCTATAGTTTCTTATTAATTTATAACAATTAGGATAGTCATTATGTTAAATTACAACTGAAACAAACTCCGATATTTTTTATTGATTAAATGTTTAAACATTAGAATGATAGGAAAAAGGTAAAAGTGTTTTCTTTCGATTATCTGCTATTTATACGCTCTCATTCATTTAAGACAGTTCGACATGACAAACAGCTTGGGATACAAATGGCGTGCATTAACATCTAAATGAATTCAATCTTCAGAGTTTTTCGCGAACAACCTGTGTCTATCTGACCCATCCTTCATGAGCGAGACGATATCCTGTTTGGACCTTTATGACTTTTCTATTTCTGAGACTCTACAGAGTAGTGAAAGGATATCAGAAACATGCAGGTAAGATTTCTAAGAACTCGTTATATAATGTGATGGGCATTAGTTATTGTATGTTGCAGTTATTTGCATCGATACGCACTCAATCCACTTCATTGCCCAAATGGTCAAATGCACTAATTCCTGAGCCATAATGCCATTTCATGCCATTTCCTCTTTTTTCCATTTCAATCATTTTATAACTTGATAGATGTACTTAATTTATAAAGTAAATAAAAAAGCATGGTATGAAAAAGGTAAAAGTGTTTTTCCTATTGATGAAGATGATATAAGATGAAAAAAACTGTTTGAATACTGCTAAGACGAAAGTATCTTAATCAGGTATTTTTATCTTCTCACTCATATTTGTTAACATTCAATCTAACAAAGTTTTCTGGAAATTTAGCCTTCTGGGTGGTGTCCAGCCATGTGTGACCAGTTCCGCGGCTGCGAATTGTGGTTCACGGGCCAGTGAGTATATGACGGCATACATGACGACACTGACAGGACCGGTACAGGATCTTCTCAGCTGTCAGACTCAACAAATATTGACAGGTAACTTAATAATTGTAAAATCTAAAAAACAGATTATCCATATCTTACAATGTCACCGGATGAGACACAGAGTGATATACCAAACAATAAAGCCTTACTTGTAAATTGACCAACAGTATGAAATAAGCATGTTTATATGCATGTATCCATAGTCACATTGTTCCACAAAAAATCTCCAAATATTGATATAGGGTTTATAAAGTAACAAAACCGACATGCGTAACTAAATCATGAATAACATATCCAACAAAGAAAGCGTTAACTGAAAGTGTAAGGTGATGAAAAAAAAAAGGTTGTGAATTATCCTTTTTTAACCTCAGAGCAACCGCCAGTCAGAGAATCCCAGACAACTCCTTCTCAAGTAGCAGGTATACCTACTGAACCTAACACTCTGCCCACTGTGTCTTCGAAACCTACTCTAAATCAGTCAATCGTCCCCTCTGAACCAGAATCCAGGAACACGACACCAGAATCTGAGCCGGAGTCTGCATCATTTCCGGAGACGACACCAGTTGTATTTGGTACTAGTTTCACAGAAACAACTACAACCGTCTTTGAACCATCTACTGCACCCATAGTCGGATCGTCCACAGATGTAACAACACCAAAGATTATTGCATCAACATTCTCCACTGCTCAGGAAAATTCTGCTGAGTTAACCACAACTAGTACCACAACAGAACTAACAACTAATGCTCCTATGAAAGTAGCAACTAGCTCCGCCATGGAATCAGCCACTAGTTCTAGTATGGAACTGACAACTAGTGTTGCCAGTGAAACACCAACTACCAGTTTTACCATGGAACCAAGGACCAGTACAACTATGGAACCGACCATGGAATCAAAAACCAGCACAACCATGGAACCGAAAACCACTTCAACCTTGAAACTCACGACAAGCACAACCATGGAACCCACAACTACCACAACCAAGGAACCAACAACCATGGAACCAACAACCATGGAACCAACAACCACGGAGCCAACAACCATGGAACCAACAACCATGGAACCAACAACCATGGAGCCAACAACTATGGAACCAACAACCATGGAACCAACAACTATGGAACCAACAACCATGGAGCCAACAACCATGGAACCAACAACCATGGAGCCAACAACCATGGAACCAACAACCATGGAACCAACAACCATGGAATCCACAACCATGGAACCCTCGACCAGCACAACCATGGAACTCACAACCAGCGCAACTTTGGAACACACAACCAGCACAACCGTTGAACCATCGACCAGCACAACTATGGAACCCGCAACTAACACAACATTTGAACCATCGACCAGCACAACTATGGAACCTACGACAAGCACAACCATGGAACAAACACCCAGCACAACCATGGAACCCACAACCACTTCAACCATGAAACCCACGAAAAGCACAACCATGGAACCCATAACCAGCACAACCATGGAGTCAACGACCAGTTCAATCATGGAACCAACAACTTTTGAGATGGATATAGGATCCGAAATCAGTTGTGATAATACCGTTATTGCTCAGTGTATTGTTAACTCTATAGGGGCGTCGCCTTTCTACTCTCAGATGCTGGAAGCGTCAACCACTGGAGTGTTTCCCCAGCTATCTTCTATTGAACTGGAGGAGTTGTGCATGTAAGTATTAGTTTGTCTCTGTCTCAAAGATCTTTTAAAGCCACAATATAAATGTTTACTGTGTCTTTGTTTGCAGGAAATCAAACTATTACAATCCTTTATCCTGTATACAGATTGCTTATGCAGAGTCTTGTTCTTGTTCTACAGGTCAGTTGGCGCGTTAGACACTTGTCTGGAGGTAGAAACCCAAGGTTGCACTGGAGCACACTTATTACAATACACCTCCCTGCGACATACTTTTAACTATGTCTGTGGATCAGGAAAACAAGGTAACCTTTATTTGTACACTCAACAATACTTAATTATAATATAAACATAGGCGTTCGATTAAGTTTACATAACAATTTAATATAAAATGAAAATTACACAAAATACCTTGCCTGTTGTAGTTCACCCGTGTACAACCCGCAGTAACAGTAACCCCTTTCAATAAAACTACAAAAGACTGACATTCAATTTGAGTATATAATTCTATAGTTTTGATCGTTATAAATAGTCTCAAATATGAGTCATAACACCACTGGATTTATTAATGATATTACTGGAAAACAATCTATGTAAATTAAGTAGGGGTGTTAAATTTGCATGTATGAGAACCTTTCCTTTATGTTTTTATAGCCTTCCTGCAAACGGCTGAATGTTTCGCCGAACCCGATATTGTCACTAACACACAAGCATGCCTCATGGAACCAACACAGGAAATCAGCTCCCTCGTTTCAATAATAGCATTTAGTCCGGATTTATTCCTGGAATCCCAACGACTGTGCAGGTATGTATACATACGTTGATTTCCAAAAACATGTTTATTGTCTTTGTTGATATAGATTAGCACAGACAATCCAAGTTATCGATCACATCGATTTTCTTTTAAAATATGTTCCTGGCAATACCTATATAGTCCTTTTGTTATTTCAGCTTGCTGCAGACTACCACATATTGTTTCGTTAACGCCGCTAGTAACCACTGTTCACGCGAACAAGCTGTGTCGGTCCTCAGATATATGAGCAATGTGATAGAGCCAACAAGGAGATTCTTTGCCTGTCTTCTAGATGAAATCACTCTTCCACCAGGTATGTTGAAAGATTATAATGTTATAACAATATTTCATATTTCTCAATATAGTTATAATACAATAAGTTGACAATCACACCTAATTTTTTTGTTTTTAACATAATCATCTATAAGCGGATTGTATCGTTTGCTTTATTTATGTTGTTTTTTTGTTTATTTGTTCATTTATCAGTCATTCATGTTTTAAATCAACGTCTTTATTATTTCAGTTGTTGAAGATATGACCACCGAATGGACAACAACCGAACCTGCTCCTACAACTGAGAAAACAACATCGGCAGAAGTTACAACCACTGAACCTGCTCCTACATCTGAGAAAACAACAACGGCAGAATCTACAACCACTGAACCTGCTCCTACAACTGAGAAAACAACATCGGAAGAAGCTACAACCACTGAACCTGCTTCTACATCTAAGAAAACAACAACGGCAGAATCTACAACCACTGAACCTGCTTCTACAACTGAGAAAACAACATCGGAAGAAGCTACAACCACTGAACCTGCTTCTACATCTGAGAAAACAATATCGGAAGAAGCTACCACAACCGAAAAACATACCACAACCGAACAGCCAATGACTACAAAAGACGTTTCCACAACCGAACAAGCTACAACAACTGTAGAATCAATAAAAACCGACCAGACAATGACAACTGGACAAAGTACAACAACTGAAAGGTCAACAACCACGGAAGACATTACAACTTCTACACTGAACCCATTCATAACTTCTCCGGAAACGACCACAGCGTCTATGCCAATGGATGAGCCGAAATTATGTTTCAACTGTCGTTATCACGGTCGGTTCGACTTCAAAAAAGAGGAAATTGCAGAGAAGGTAGATCAATATTGCATTGCCAACGGTTACAGGGGATTCTGTCCAATCGATACATGCAGGTGTATTGATCCAGACACAGAAGTCCTTGTACCCGTGTGTGAAGTGCGAGGTCTTTACCGACGTGTGGCAGGATATAAGGAATGGTGTGAACGTATGTGTCACCAAGGTTACTGCAAGATAGACCCGTGCGATTGTCATATGGAACCCCGAAGATCCGATAACCAACTGTCTCCGGCTTAAATAAGTAGCAACAGAGACTTTATCACCCATTAAATATTAATTATCAAGGATCAGTATTTAAAATGTACAAAACTTAAACCGCTTTTTTTGTAACGAGTACGAGTGAATGATATCATATTTAGTAGTATTTCTTAGAAATCCATAACTTAATTTTTTCAGCTGTTGATCAGCTTTATTTATTCATTTTTCTCGTTTTTTATAATTTATTGTGTTGTACTTGTAGCGTAGAGTTGCTCATAACTTAACAGGAATGACAGATGACAAGATGTCATCATCCGAACAATCTGATACACAAATCACTACTTAGCTTTATGTCATTTGAATATCCTGATGTGCCCATCATCATCATGTTTTTTCGGTGTTTTTACCGAACGTGCATGCTAGTTTGCAAATGCTATTGTGAAATAATTAAATGGTTAACTTGTCTACATAAATAGATTACAAATTCATGACTCAAATTGGATTACTTTTTCACTTGATATTGTCTGGATTATATATGTTTATGTTTTATAATGACTCAACTGTTAATTTAAACATGGTTATTGCGAATAAAATTTCTATATTTTTATACAGAATTTCTGTGTTTTTATTTACATTGAAGCAATGTCCTGGATAATTATTCAAGAATCCTGTCGTAAGAATCTTTTCTGTACCACTTCCGTTTAAAAATGAATTGACCTTATTTCAATTATCGCGTTCTAACTGAAATTCTAAATAGACCACCACCAAACAAAGTAAATATGTTAATTTATTGCTTTCCAACGGAATTATTTATGCGTTTTATTAATTTTAGCTTGGTGCATATTTGCATTGATGGGTCTTCATATATCCGGGTAAAATATTAAAAACGTTTTTAATGCTGAATCAGTACAACGCGACGGTCTTAATAGAAAGCAATATTTTAAATACCATCAAAAACGATATTCGTGCATATTGTTTTACTAGCGTACTTTGTAAATAGTTTAGTCACGGCATTAGTTAAACTTTTATTTTGTTTTATAACTGTAATTGGTTTGGTTTGTTTGGGCTTTACGTCCTATTAACAGCTATGGTCATGTATGGACGAGTCAGATTTTGGTAGTGGAGGAAACCGGAGTACCCGGCAAAAATAATCAGACCTGCGATTAGTACTTGACGAGTGCCTCACGTAGTCCACGAACTGGTGACCCAGAGGTGTAGGACTACTTATCGTTGACGGTCAGACGCCTTAAACATTCGAACACCAAGGCCCTGATGACCGTGATGAAGAGCCTGTGGACTATTCATATTTGGCTCTGAAATCTAATTTTTTATTTGTGTTTTGACGCTTTCGTTTTTTGTGATTTTCTGTTTTACCTAATCTTAATAAAAAAAAAATGGTTTGTTAACCATTGGTCCCGCTGCAACATTTTCTGTTTGAAACATATATATAGCGTTATGGTCTTATTTTCAATCAGTTTTGAGGCATACTATCAGTAGTAAAATAATATTTTAAGATAAATACCATAATACTAAACCAACAAATTTTAATTTTAACATGTGCCAATCGCAGACGCTACCATGAATTTAACACCTAGTGCAACAACTTTCACCTACCAGTCTATATACATCTACGAGTAATCGGTTCGATAATTAAATGTAAAGTGTAATTTGTTCACGAGTGTAAAGTCTATAAACAACACTGTTCGTGTAATATATAGACCCGTTAATAAACAGCAGACTCGTCAAACATAAACGTGCTTGGCTCTAGTACAGCTTAGAATTCATCGGGCGGAATGGGCTTTTGTAGAAGTGCAATACTATAGCCGTACATATCGTACTTTTGTGACGAATGTTAGACATACTTTAATCAAAACGATAAGGAAAGTAAGTCAATCTTGCTCCGAAATATCAAAATTGAGTGGAAAACAAATATTTTAAAATAATAAACAATGAGGATGAAAATAATGCTCTGATATGCTGCTTCTGTTTATTTATTTTTTCCTGTTCGTAGAATTTAGAAACATGTCGGCACCATATAATATATCTCAATCACAACCTATGAAATTGTTTTTAAATTTTGTCGTGTAATGAGAGTGTAATTCGTATTATTCATTCTTTTGGTGGCAACGTATATTAAATCTTGAAATCGTTCATTTCAACAATATATAAAGGAACATTATTTCATGCATTTCTTTTTCGCATCCTTGATTGTCTATTCGAAACCACTATAAAATCGATTAAGAAATACAACAAATGTAACAATCCGATGTAGTAATTGCACTTTAATAAGTCATTGCATAGCTATATCGAACATAAAATTAACAATGATTATGAATGCAAGTGTTTAACGGAGGTGATGAAAGAATCGGACAATGATAGTAAAAACAATTAACACTCTAAGTACTGGTCTGTAACTGTGACTTACTTACTGGAATGTAAAGTTAATGTCTTGCTCAATTAACAAACTGTACCATTTGTTATATATGACGATTAATTGATAATTGTACACTATGAACAAGAACTATTTTTTCCCACCAAAAAAATGATAGACATCACAGTTTCAATTGACAATATATCAAATCTCTGTGGCCTTATTTCCTTTATATCTTGGAAGACGTTAAAGAGCTACTTATTTAAAGGCCTTCATTTCAAATGGACAAATACATGTATAATATTGTGATACAAATACATATATGGCATTTTTAGTTGTTAAACAATGAAAGGAACAAATAAAAAAGAAAACGCGCCGTCATTCATGCCGGAGTCATCCTTTTATCTCTAATTCATCCTCTACTAGCTTTCATTTAACTAGTTACACAACCTCACACACTGTCTGACACAACTTCGACCATTACGTTCCAAAAAGTCCCCATCTATATCAGTTTTAACTCAGTATGATGGTATGTTCATGGCAGACTGCTCAGATCACGTTTGGGAGGTAGTCCTTTAGGCCTTTCCTTCTCGCGCATCTTTTCTTCGAATTTCAAAATGCTGCAAATAAAAATATATACCGTATACCTGGAGATTTTCACCCAGTAAAGCTTTTTTCTTTTGCCTGTTAAATCAATGTTCGCCCTTCACATTATATTATTTTGTTTATTATGCTGTTTCGTTATATTCGCTATTTTGATAAATTTGCCCTAATAACGGAGGGCGAAAAGGGCGAAAATTAAACTGCATCGAAATTTTACTTTATGCAGTATATAAATATTACATTTCTAACAATAATATGCCGTCGCTTTTTAAATCTCTTTCGCGCTTGAACAATGGACTTATTGAGTGCCTTAATAAAAAGGGAAGTTATTCCCCTTGGATTACTTTTACTGTGATATGTATCCACATTTATTGTTTGAACATTTGTAATGTTTTCCTGGCTAGGACGACTTATATTTAAATAGCCTTTTGTCGAAATCTTACAATTTCCCGGGAAAAATGGCCACTAACACATACATAATTAATTTTGTGATCATGATTATGTGTAAACATGCATGTTAAAAACAAAAATAAAATTATATCTTAGAACCATTTTTTTCAGTACATACTGATTTATAGTCTTTAAAAATGTTCCGTTACAAACGAAAAAATTAGCAACTGAATAACACTATATAAATTTATAATCTTAACACTAATCAATAATACAACTAGGGATACATCAGAACAAAGAAGAAATATCATCACATTCCCCACTCAAAAAAACCCGTCAAATAGTTACATAATGACATATATAGAGAATAATCTATTTTTTATTAATTACAGTTCTATTCAAAGTTTTTTTTTATTTTTCACGAGTATAGAACGAGTAAGAAATATAACAAAAGAAATATTCAAACTACGAGTGAATAAAACTATTTTTCATCAAGAAACAAATATCTAGTTTCTTAAGTTTTTTCTCAATGATGATAATGACATCATTGAACAGATTAACTGCCAAGTAAATCAGTATTGTGACGTCACAATAAGAAAACATCCCGGAATCAGTGAGGTCACAATGTCCTTTTATTGTTATTTTCCACTCTAAACCCTTCACTTTTATTGGTCAATTCAGTATGAAAACAACAGAAATTGTAGTAAATATACCCTCGGTGTTTTATTTTTTAACAAACTAAGTGTTATTTCATACGAGTATATCTCTCCATGCCAGTTTTAACGGAAATAATTGATCATCATTTAAGTTTAAAATGATGGATGGTGGCATATCAATTAAATAAGGAGATATTGTAGATAGAAATGGAGACATAATGTTCACCAGGGTGTTTTTATACGATCAAAACTCACGTTCGGCTCTAACAGGATAACTGTTATGATCAACAACCGACTTACAGTTTGAGGACAGTTGATTTTGTACCCAACATCATATCGAGGAACTCTTTGTACGAAATAGTTCCTGATCCAGTCGTGTCCACCTCTGCTATCATCTTCTTCAGCTCCAGATGAGTCTTAGCGCAATTCAGCTTCTCCATCATCTGCTTCAGCTCCATAATGTCTAATTATCATTAATGAAATTAATAGATAGCAATATATACCATCAAACCTGCGTGTATCCAAAGTTTAAACAAGTTAAACAAGTTTATAGATATACAGAGCATCCTTAGTTGGATTCCATAAAATGCAATTTATTGATACAGCACACAAGTTATCATTCATTAACAATTATTAAGATTTTTTCAAATAAAATTAAATATCATATTTATTATGCATTGTTTGGCCATTCATACACCAAAATATACAAAATTATAGTAATATCTAGGTAGAAAAATCTACGCTTGGAATTATTATTGAAACTACAGACACTAGAAACTATAGATATTATGAAATACTACACAAAATACATAGATCGACTGCAATGACACAGTTAACAATTGTTTTATTATGTACAACTTGTATCAACCAGTTACAAACGAACGCGCTTTAAACTGATATGCTTTTATTTATAATGAAATAAAGTTGATGCTTAAATTTCTGTTTGATACTTACCAATATCGCCAGAGTTGTCCAAATCAAACTCCATGAATTGATCTGTCGAATAAATCCGTACGCATAATGAATATAAATATACGCCTTTTGGAAAGATATTTATAAAATTGCCAAAAAATTCGTTAGCAACTTGTGAGATCCTCTTTATGTTATACCGCCTTTGCTTAAATAGCTGAATGGCAATTGTGTTATAATCCAATTTCAATTTTATATATATATTAATCAATACATAGTAATTTGATTTATTATGAACATTATAAATAAAAATTATAATACACAATACCATGTAAAACAGATTTTATATAACAGATGACCATCCTCCTCAGTTCTAGTTACTGTTAATCTGTGTACTTTTAGCCGATAACAAAGTACTTTCTTTTCTTTTCAGACAAGTTTGATCTATCACATCAATCGTATGTTCTGTGTTTAATACTTCCCATATTAGTATTTGTCTACCATAGATAACTGAGAAATCTCTAATTTTCGTGGGGTTTGTAATTTCGTTTATTTCGTAGGTAATCTTCATTCCTTAGTTCAGAGGTCAACGAAGTAGTTACAAGTTCGATATAAAGCAATTCTACGTTTGAGTGGGTACTCATAGTCTACAAATTCATGTATCTAAGAAATGGTGTTTTGTCGGGAAAACACGAAATTTGGGCCCCACAAAGACCTTTATTTTCGCAGGACTACGTGTACTTGTTTGCTTTTAATATTTCCATGAGTTTTAATCTCGAACATAAAACATTACAGCATATTGTTACTGATATGACGTCACATGATGGTTAAGTGTTACCTTTGTACTTGTTGAGTTGTTCAGGTAACTCTTCTATCTCCTGTAACGCATCATCATCTAGGTAGGTCTGAAAGTACGAAATAAACTACTTAGTTTCAGCTATTTTGTTAAACGCGCTGTAAATGGCAAATGGTACATTCGAACAATTGCTTACATAAATCGCCTTGTACTGCTTGTATTTAGGTAAACGAATAGGTAAACGAATAGCATTAGATGCTTCTCAAAAAGCTCTCTTCGTGTTAATATAATATTGGAAAATAATAAATATACGTATTTAAATAAATTGAAAATACTCTGTGCATCATATTGTTTTTGTAAAGAGGAATGTTTTTTCTATTGTTGTGACATCCATTTTCGTTGTTAAAGAAATATTTAGAAATTCCATGTAAAGTATTTAATTTTGCTGACATTTTGTTGTCTCCGTTTTCAAGTTTGAGCTGGATTTCAGTTATAACCTTATGTGGAGATGCAGTGATATTAATTTCAAAATCAAGGCCCGAATTCTTGACACTTGTTCCGGTTTTAAATTAATAATTAAATCTTACTTTGTAAATGATTTGGGGGGGGGGGGGGTGAAGAGACTTAAAGCCTTATACTGTTTTCAATGTTTACATTTGACTTTTTGATCATTTGACATGATTTAAGTAAGTTACAAGAAAGTTGGTTGAGCACAGAATCCATGCTTGAGCATGAAAACGGTTTCATGAATACGGTTCCAGGCGTCTAGCAGATATTTTGAAAGAGGAATATGATGCCCAACTGATCAGAGACATAACAGACAACTGTGATGTGACAATCATTTTTGAGAATTGGTGCAGGTTTCGTTAGATGTAAACTAACAGCAGTAGTCTTAGTCACCACACCTGATTTATCGATGTTAGTTCCTCATCTTGCTTGCTTTTAAGTTGTCCAAATAATTTCCCACCTGTAAATATAAAAAGATAAAGAATATGTATAGTATAAATTGTATGAATAATATTAATATAATGAAACCATTCTCAAATGAGACAATTATCGCATATGCTGGTAATAATTATTTGATTCTGTAAAATAATGTGTTTAAATAAGAAGGCGAAAAAGTAACAAGATTCGTTCAAAATGACAACGCTATGATATAACACGTGACCCGGTCAGCGTAACGCTGCCCTAACATAAAACACAGCAGACGACAAAAGACGACCATAAAACTGTCGGGAACACCATGGTGTCATCTCATGTCTCAATAATCAGCTGTGATTGACAAAGTAACCCATATGTTGTATTTTATTACAAGCAAGTCAATGTGATTGATAAGATATAAAAGTGACGGTAGTTTACAGCTCCGTAAGAAATATATATGCTTGTCATGTTATGGCTAACGACATCATAAGGGACGCTATTGTTTGACTCACTTAAAATAACACTATATAGTCTACGGATTTGTGTTGTATAATTACAAATTGATGTTGGGTTACTTTATTCTATCGTAGGCTTTTATTGATTACTAGGAATCGGTTGATCGCCACCTTGTTCGTTATTCAATACTAAATAGATAATAAAAATCATGTTTTTATTCTTTTAATCAGAAACGATTAAGTGTGTAGCTTTCACACATAACATGCCGTGCAACTTTGTGTTCATCCCAATGTTATTGTATTATTTCAATTCGATGAAACACACAGTACATTGTACCTTTATATAAATGTTGATTCGATGCTAAAATATTCACATTAAGTAACAAAATACCAACTTCTGTTTTATATTACAGTTAAAATCTGGTTTATTTGTTAATGTTGGTGATTTTAAAGCCATTTAACGAGTTTCTTTCTGAAATGAGAGCATGTCGCAAATTTATCAAATACTTATAAAATTCAAAGTTTAAAAAAATGCACTATTATGTATTTCCATACACGGAAAACCTCGTAATGATTTAGCCTTTGATTACACAGTAAATACATACAGTTTTGGCAGGGAATCATCTAAATGATGTGACTATTCCGTCTTTACGTATTGCAGAGTTATCTTCTCTTGTGAGCAGGTATTGATTGTTACGTCATGGTTTGTGTGAGAAAATTACTTCGTTTTCTCAAACATTGATGACGTTACTCTCACAAACAAATGACGTAACAATCAATACCTGCTCACAAGAGCAGATAACTCTGCAATACGAAAAAAAGGAATATGGAGACACACAGTGTTGTATGAAAACTGTCAACATGTTGCTTCCAAGTCGTATTTATTTGCTCAAGTTTAACAGGAAAATTTAAACGTTTTGGGGACCATACATTTTGTAAGTTTGCATTTTTTGTACTTGAATCGTTTTCCTGATTCAGTGATATAATGATGTGTTATATCGTGATAGTAACACACGAAGGAAAATAAATTCGTGCCTGACCAATCTAAAATGTGACTCCGGTCCGGACACATCCTTGTATTAGTCAACCTCTGTCCATATAAGGCATGCGAAGCGATGTACATGACAAACAACACTGGCTATTATTCACTCAGCCGTGACTCAGTCGACAGAAATAATGCCGGATATATCTAGTTCCATTGTGTCGGAAGCTGGTCGTTGTTTCATTCATATTTTCCGCCGACATTTATATTAATTTGTATTGTACGTGACCAATACCATAGACGGTTTTGTGTGGGTTTTTTTTCTATAATAAACATATCTATAATACTCTAAATTAAATTTTTGTAGTGTCGTATGTTTGTAAATTATGAAAGGTGTTTTATTTCAGTTCAATAAATTTTATTCAAGACGAAAGTAAATGGGATTAAATAACAGGCTACGCCTATATCAGTACTCTCCTTCTCTCGACGAGAAGGAGCTATATAAATGTCGTTTGTATACACATATATGGGGGGAAAAGTCGCATGTTACTACGTTGACGCATTCAATATTAAAGGTCAGAAAGTAGTTCACCGCCTAGAAAGAAAACGGACAGTTTATCTCGATTTTTGTATGAAAAAACACGGGAGGAATATTGATTTTAATGGCAAACGGCATAAGTTTGACGGGGCGAAAGTTTCCCGGTATACAGTATTTTAAACGTGGAACTCTTTAACAAATAGCTTATGATTTAATACTATAAGTGTATTTCCTAACGGCGTATTCTTTAACCCCTTCATCCTTAAAGTCACATTTGAACTTTACCAAATAAAAGACTGCGCAAGTCCAGTGTTAATATGTAGAGGTGAATTAGCTATACGCACGATGAGACTGTAAAATATTTCTAGTTAGCTTTACAGAAGAAAAAAAATCAAGCGAAATAAAGTCTTGTATATGCAGTTATTTAAATGACATTCCCGGCAAATGCTTACATTTGAGATGGAGACGCATTACAGATATAATGCATGTGTGATGAGATCAGGTGGATATTTGTGGATCTACCACTGGCGATACGGAAGTAGCTCTAACAACCATCGTCTCTGTTACAAAGCATGGTCTTGTAATGGATGCATGTGTAGCTTAGATATGACTTAAAATCGTATGCTACGTTTAACATGTAATAAATTAAAGCTTTTTTACTTTCAGAATTGTCCAATATAAGTTAATGCATCATATTCAGATAGAAGTTACTAAATATAAATGTATGGTCTTAACGGGTCACACAGCATATACTGTGCAAAAATTGTATATATAGGAAGCCGATTTTGACAGGATCACTTTATCAAAACTGCCCCCAAGGTAAAATAGCATGTGTGTAACTTACTTGAACTCAGGTACAAAGTTATATCCATAAAACATGTATACATGTAGTGGTACACATCATGTATATCTTTGCCATAAATATCAAGACTCGCACATATTCCTAACATAAGTACATATAACAGCGAAAATGCAAAATTTCAAGTATAAAACGTAGTTACTTCTTGAAAAATTAGCAAAATTGGTTATTGATCATCTAATTTCAAAATACAAATAACTTGCACAACCCAATTGACATGACTTATAGAGGTAACTTATTTTCATCTTTTGCTTTTATATTTCTTACATTAAGTTCTATAATGACTGCAAAATCGTTTCTCCGCGGTGGCTATTTTTGCACAATTTATCAAATGGTGAAACGTGTTGTTCCAGGTCTATTGTCATGACACACAGCGCTACGGTATGGATTAATTATAAATGCTGTTTATTTTGCGGACAGAGATGCTGTTTATTTCACGGAAAAGAAATGTTTATCATAAAGTCGCAAAAAATTGGAATCCCTAGAATAACGTTTAGGATATCATTTGATACATGTATCCACATTTTCAGCCCTTAAAATCACCGATGAGTCCTTTAAGGACGAAACAGCTGTATGGTGCATAGTGGTTCAATTATTTGGACTGTATCGTATACCATGTCACGCGTGTGTCTTCTGTTCGTCTTTCAAACCCATCCGGTAGATATTATGACCATGGCATCATTGTATTTATATTAAGTTGTTACCCCTAAGAATGTAATAATCCAAGGATACATAACAAGAGGCATCTTTCTCTGACATGTCGTGATGGAAGTGATAAATATCTGCTAATTTGGTCATACATGACATCGTTCAGCATTCCATTGCACGCTTCCTAAGTCATATAGTAAAAGTCTGTACTTTATACAGTTCATAGTCCATCGACATCAAAGGGGTGTTTACCGCATCGCTATCTGTCAACAATGGATAAGTGGATGTGGATGGGGATTGAAACCTGTCCGGATTCAAATATCGATTTCAAAGACCTCACAGTCATTCAAACAAATCTGCATGTGAATGAGGTTTTAAATTAGACGAGGTGAGATTATCTACAAATATCGACAATGTGTTATTACCATTTAAAAGAAAGAATATTCCTTATTGTTCGTCTGAATAGCAAGCTACAGCGAATTATTATGTGGTTTTTGAAAGGAATCGAACCTTGCTGTATTGTACAGATTGGCGTAGCCTATATCTTTCTTGCAGAACAATTAGTGCGTTGAGTAATTTGAATAATGTAGCCTTTGTCGGAGTCGGAGAAACAGAGAAACAACACGTACCACAACTGTACAGTGTATGTTATGTTTTGTTCAAGGTTTAGCGTCAAAATAGATATTTGCTCTAGGGACGATACTTCTACCCCACTAATGATGCAGACTTTAACGTATCTTGCATTTTACATAATCTTAATATAGATTGCTACAATGTAGGATATCAGCGAGTTAGTGATAAATGCTGCCTTACGAATACACAGGGAATGTGTGTTTGATTTACCTGATTGAATATTATTTTGATAAACATTGTCAAGCTTATCGGAGCTTAGTGAGTGGTATTCAAAACATATCTATACGTTTGAAATGTGTAAAATCAACTTTGTAACAAAATCAAACTTATCATTTATAAAAACAAAATCCATGTTTCTTAGTTAAAGAACTTGCTCCACATCATGATTTCTATGTTAGATATTAACTGTTGAAGGAAAAACTTACAACAGAGTAACCAGAGAGGCAGGTTGATGAAAAGTGTGGGCAGATTTTGTGGTCACCAACTTTTTTCTCATTGTTAATTCTTTTAGTGATATGGTGATCGATACGTTATCCTCCTCATAAGTGTGACTTTTTTGTTATATTACCTAAGCCCCGATTCTCGCTATGAGGGCGTGACCTAATTGACCTAGACTTACGTGGCAGGTGTCGTCGATAAAGCAGAGGACGATTACCCTTCTGGAACTCGTTATTCTCCTTATTCCATCAACAGTCTCCGTGAAAATATTTCTATTCAATTTTAAATGCTATCCAAGTTTTATTATTTCGAGTTCGAATACTAGTAACAGTTTTATTGACACTTCGTTATTCTCTTCTTCTGTTTTTTCTTTTTATCATTATTTCATAGTTAGGAAAGTAGTCGCCGTATGATAAATAAACAAATAATGTAGAGGGACGTTTCCGGTACAGTCGGTCACTTAGAGCATCGCCTTAAGTAGAAGTTCTCGAGCTTGATTTCTAATGAGCTTATTTCCGTTTAAACGACGATGTGACCATCGGAAGTGCCCGGGATAAGTAATGTAAAGGAAAAGAGGTGTAAATCGTAACTGACCTCCGAACAATTCACTTGATGACCTGGGCTATAAGAAAGTGAAACTACCTGTGTTAGTTTAAACATTTGCCCATTATTTAGGCAGATGTGTATCAATCTTCAATGCCCCAATGCCCTAAGGAGAAGTTCACCCGCGATAACAAGACACGATAATTAACCTCGCAGTCAAGTCGTTCTTATGGAAAAAACGGACTCGAGGCTAGTGTCCACTCAACCTTTTCGATCTCACAAGCTCCATTTGACTAAAGTGCATGGTGTTGAATTACTTGGTCGAACCGCGCTGAAGACATTGACTTACGTGATGCTTAAATAATGAAGGAAACATTTTAATGTTTTCTTTAGGAACACTTAAATGATCAAACGAAATTCCAATGATCTACATAATCTTAGCTACACATATATGAGAACCGAGTTAAAAGGAAGTTTAAACCATTATTGTTTTTCTTTGGTCCATAATCTGATACCGGAATAACGTCATACCAGGTGAAGTGAAAACTCGTTACTCTCGAAGTGTTCCTGAGGTGTCCCGGGGGCCTCCATTAGAGCTTTACTACACCTTGTACCTGTCTCTAGTGTACATAACGTACATATTATTGACATGATCTACCAAAAGGCCTTTCTTAGTTACCAACTGGAAACAACTACATATCTGGAAACAGAGAAATCTTTAAGATACAATTCTGTTTACACTACCTCTATTTTGAGACACTTATCAGGTACTCGAATATCGAACAACTGCAATTCGGTAAAATGCAACGGAGTATGTGTTTATTATGCCGATTATAATGCCTAATATCTATATTTTGGATGGAAAATAGCCATAGAAAATGACAGATATTAACTTGAAGTTATCTGAATAAGTAACCTTAAGTTTGGCGTTATCCGTAACAACGCGAAGAGTAAATGTATTTAGAACGAAAGTCACTGATACAGGAGAATATCGAAATATAAAATAAAACATAATTAGAACTCTAAATCGATAAAATTAGGACAAAATATGAGCAAAGGAAGGAATTAAATAAAGACCCTTGAAATCACAATGAGAACCAGACCAGGCGTTCCAGAAGGGTAGGCGTCTTCTGCTTCATCGACGGCACCTGCCACATGATTCTAGGCCAAATCCAAGTAATGTCACATCCTCACATCGAGACCTCGAGTATTGACAACAAAACCACAAGGCACTCTAATGAGTATAGTCAAAAGCCTCGACCTTCATATCACATAAAGACATAGCATATTAACCTGCAAGATCCTGATGGCGAACATAAACCATGTCCATAGTCTTCATCAACATGCATCTTTGAAAACCCTGTGTTGTACTTTTGTCCGTTAGCAGTGAACAATTATCACGGAATTCATGATATCCGGAGCAAGGTCATGGTTTCGTTACATTTATGTCAAATTATCGTTATCGGCACTGCAAAGATATTTCTTTGTATCAATATTAACATCAACGAAACAACAAAGTACTCTACTATGAGAAGGGATTTTGTAGTTCCAGTTGTCAAATCTTTTTATTAAATAAGAATTATTTCGCATGAGAACAAATACGTATATATCTACTTCCTTACTGATATCAATTACATAATGACTGCTAGAGTTACCTGTATTTGTATAACTGTATGAAAGCAAAAAGTTATTTATTTTACACCTGAAAGCAAGCCTTTGTCATGTTTCCTTAAGTATATACAATATAGCTTCCTTGTAGAGATTTCCCCAGAGTAATTTTTTAAAACCCCGTTACATGTGTGTAAATCATGTTTACAACTCTAAATCTCCCCAGGGGAAAATACAGGTATACAGATTAGAAAGTGGGTTTCCCCATTGAGTGGTAGGGATAACAATTATATCACTGTTGTTGAAATACACAAGGCTTATTACAGATGTCACACGCACTAAAAGACATGTGTATTTTAAGCTGTCTGCTTTTTACTGAATGTATAATAGATTCTTCTTTTTAACATCTGCTCAAAGTCGTCTCTGTCAGGAATAAATGAATTCATATTTAACTTAACAAGGCACAGATTTAACATAGCTCCTATTGAAAGTGAGCTGAGCTTATTTCAAGTTAGGTAGAAATATAGGGATTTTCGTTAAATTTAGCGTTGCTGGCTGTCAAGAGACATACCCATGCACGACACTACTTTAGATTGGCCTACATTGTAATCGATACCTCAATACCGGTGATGACTGTGGGAATTTACAAACTGTCAACACTGCTAAAAAAACTAAACGGACTTCTGACTTAATACAATAACATCCCAGTCTCTCTACTAAGTAGGGGATGACCTATCACCGTTATAGGTGTCTAACTGACGTTTCTGACCACGACAAGGTTTGACCAGTGTTGTGGACTGGTCATATGTCCATTAGCTCAGTGACAGGTAGACAGGTGATTGGTGTCCTGGCCTTGTTATGGGCGCAGAGTGATTGACACGTCCAATCGATTACACACCTCGCAGTGTATATTTCTTATGTTTTTGACAGTGATGTTTATGGAATGTGCTTTCATAGGCAAGACGCGTACAGGGTAAATCGACTTTCAGACGGTAACACATTATACTCATGCAGGTTCAATACCTTCTGATGTGTTCTTCCCGAATATATAATACAGATGTATGTTAAAGCTTATGTATATATTATAATTTTGTCCAACTTTGTGACATTGTAATATTATAATAAGATCATTCTGTCAATTACAATATAATTCATATCAAGTGAACTGGTATCGATTGTTTTCCAACAAACTGCAGATTACTTAGATATGCCTGTTGTTCAAACCTGCTTATTGATCACCAAATATGTTGAAATATAATATAAGCTATTCTGTAGACACATGTTATTTATAATTATATTTTGATGTTTTCGTTTTAAGTTGCCAAATGTTTACAACCCAAACTTACCTTGAAATGAATTCATTATCTTCCCGAGTTATTAGCTCACTTCTAGAAAGGACGTTACTTACAATCCAGAGGAACTAGGTTACAATTATCGTCTCCAGTTACAATCCAAATAAGACTAAAATCGTTACTACAGCCGTAGGAACAAAAGTAAACACTATATACTATCACAGCTACCCAGGAATGTCAGGGTATGTATCGTAACCCTGCTTCATCGCCCAAGTGGAGCATACGGAGACTTGAGAGAGCACGTCAATGTCAATTGTATTGTATGTTTTATTTGATATTATAAGCTAACGTGACGATTCACTAACACATATGCAGGTCACACCCCATCAATGACATTTTGACAGGTGATGCGAAGTGAAGCAACAAGTGTATAACACAGCGTAGCAGCCAGTGGACGACAAATACCTAGCGATGTTTCAGTAACTATCAGTAGTTTTTCCACTGATAGGAGGCTCAAAAATAATAAATTGGGTTTCCATGTTATAAACGGTTGTAATTTGTAAGAAAACACTTTTTTTTAATTTTCAGGATGAAAACTTTTCTATAGTATAAAATCTTCATAACTCATAAATCTAAATAAACATCACATTGCTATTCTCAAAATAAAAATTAAAAACAAATTATTGTTTGCATATTTTGTTAGGAGTAGTATGTGTTTAGAAAAATAAATATGCAAATTGTTCAGTGTCACAAACACAATACAAAGCATTGTATACTACCTTAAAACAGAAAACTTTAAGGTACAGGTATGTTTAGAATATCTCTTCTTTGAGACACTTTTCAAGTACTCAAATATCGAACATCTGCAACTCTGTAAAATGCAACGGAGGATGTGTTTATTATGCCTGTTGTTATGGCTAATATTATTTATTGTTTACATATTTTGTTTGGAGTAATATATGTTTAGAAAAATAGATCTGCAAATTGTTCAGTTTCATAAACAAAATATAAAACATGTGTATGTATGAACCTTGTGTACTTGCTGTAAATTAGAGAAAACAATATAATACCATCTGAAAACATTGATGATTTGCTTACCTTGTTTGTTGTGTAAATCCAGTTGTCCGTTTTGGCCTGGCATGTTGAATCAACTGTTAATGCTATATGTACTTTTCCGAATGTACACTGGTATGTAGGTCCGATGCTATACAGCTAATGCAATAAACCTATGTACACAAGCATATATATACACACACATACGTATGGTTTACTTCCTGTTGTAGCCAACACTGACGACCGGTCACGTGACTTAAAGTATGGTATATGTATAAGTAAGTCATCTCAGAATGTATATATCGATTCTTTGTATCAATAAAATCAGTCTGTATATCTGAAAGCTAAGACTTACACATAGCAAGGTTTACCAACAGGAAGAAGGAAAGTTTTGCATGAGTGGTATCAATGAATTTTTTTACAGTTAGTTCAATTTCATGTATATACTTTATATACTCATCATTGACCTACACTATTACCTCTAAACGATGCGGGTTGATATAAAAGTAGGTAACATCTGGGACTGACTGTATCAAGCTTCAGCTATTTAAATGTTACCTTTACTTTGTTGAGGTGCGTGTATTTTATTACTCTGCTTAGACAAAACACCTGTTTTACCTATAGTTCAACATATTGTTTCTAAATATTATATTGTACACACAATTACGAATCATTCAGCTTTTCAACTTTAGATAATGAGTCATAACGTTTTACAATGACTAAATAGGCGACATCTTTTCGCAATTGATTTTTGTATCCGGTTTCTGCCAAGATATATTTGTTACATCAGTTTAACGTATTCATCCCCACGCCAGGCGTCCATCTGATACATCGACCATTTAGAGATATAATTGATCATATACTATCTTGGAATCTAAGGTTTTTTTCTGCATTTGTAAGAACAAGGTTTGCGTGTGTTTGTGACAATTACACAACAAAATAATGATCGCTTGGATATTACTGTTTAACTTGCAAAAACGTCTTTAAATCATGTTAAAAACTCAGAAAGGTTTGATTTATTTATAAATTGCTAAATAAGATATTTATCCTTCATCAAACATTAGGTGTACGATCGTTTGAACCTGATTAGAGAAATGAATTAGTATTAAATTAAACTAACAAACTACTTTATTTTAATATTCCACTACTGTGCATGTATTCCGGTTGCAATTTTGTGATTCCACATCTATCAAGCAGAAGGATACTTCCTATATGTGCTACAGAGAATGCATTGAAAATGTATCGCGTGTATCGACGGTGTGCACCCACGCAAAAAATAAGTATACGTCCAACTGATTGAGTGCCAGAACCAAACGTGAATATTGTGTAATGTTTGGAGGTAAAATGACTTATACAAAGGTATATCTTATAATATCTTACAGAGAGTAACAACAGCAAACTACGAGAAGGGGTACGCGCTCGTCTCGTCAAGAAATCACTTTAACTAATAAGGTATACAATAAACATAGAGAGGGAGAAGATCCAATGGTTCACCGTTGAATACGATATATATTTCATAAGTATGGCAGAATATACATGTATATATATTTCACAAGTGCAAAATCGAAGCAAGAATGAAAATATCGCCATACAAGTGAAAAAAAATATGCATTCAACGGGAAATTTTTATCTATTTTAATATTGATTACATTTTTTTAAAGTAACACTATGCAAATATTGCTGCATCAAAGAAAAGCGGGAATTTGAAGGGCAATATTTGACGCCAAGTTCTAATAACGTCAAACTTGACAACAAGCCGAGTGCCATTTTGAGTGGACTAGAGTGGACTATTCACCGTAACTCTGCAGTTTTGCTCCTATTATCTGGTAGGATTTCCAAACAAAAACGATGTCACTTCTGTAGTTATGTAAATATCATGCTGAATGTTGCAAAGGTGAACCAAAACACCACTTATTCTGCCGTCGCTTCATCTGAAGGTGAAACTGAAAATCTGTACAGTAAATAAAAAGAACCGTTCTGATTGGACAATGCTAAAAGTGATATCTTCACGTGTTAAGATAAAACATTTCGTATAAATGCAGTGAAGATATATAGTATTGGTATCTTCATTTCTTTTTTAAGTAAACTACTTACATGTATGTTGCATAACACGAACATTACACACTGAAAATAAACGCTTCGTCTTTGTTAGAAGACTCCTATAAATACTCATTTTTCCAATGCACAGTTACCGAATGGGATTCTCTACCTGCCTCTATTGTCTCGGCCAATACTGTGGATGAATTTCTATCAGCCATCCTAGTAAGCACGCTCCAAACCTTGCTGTAAACTCTGTTATCCCTGTACATATTTTTAACCCGAGAAATTAACCAAAAAGTTCAATTCCACCATTTTTAACCAGCGTATGTCATTAAAACCTCAATTTTGAAGACTTGTCATTGGCAGGAAGAAGAACAAAAATACACGATTTGCAATCAAGTCAATGGATTCTGTCCCCAGTTCGGGACATACCAAAGTCCTTAATAATGCTGGTTGTTATTCCCTGCTAATCGTTCACTATTCAGGGTAATCGAACTGGTTAGCCTGCTGTAATTGTGATACGATAGGGTGAAATACTGCACTGGGTGCTTTTGGTGTCAGATCCGGAGGCATCTCAGGGAGGCATATGCGCTAACATAACGGTACACATACATGTACATGCATTTACACACATCGGGACGCGTCCTTAAATGGACCTTAGTTGATAAGACGCTAAACCCCAATAAAACTAAACGAAATCACAAAGGATACATATTTAATTTGTGTAAGATTTTACAAACATAGATCCATAATGATCTTCATTTGGTATGAGATTACCAGTATAAAGAAACCATCAGTTTATTTTGGGACAAGTTTGATAATCTTATATGAAACGAAGACGAATTTAATTCCCTTTTATCACATACGTATGTATTTGTGTTTTAAACACGTGTACTACATTTTTTCTGATCGTCGCCATACCTGCATTAGTTTAAAATCCGATATGATATAGCTAAGAAAGTGAAATCCAGCAATATCTCCTCTACCGAACCTATAAAATCTGGGATATCACAAAGACCTGTACTTCACTCTTTCATGTTGATTATCTTTATATTAATGGTATGTCACTATGTATAAAAAATATGCAGATGAGTGTACATGAACCATACATGTTAAGAGAGATAACTATGTTATACAGTACAAACTACAACATAAAAATAAACCAACTCAAAATATAATCACTAAAATACAGTGCATTAGGAGGCACATATTCCGTCTTGGCGTATTGCAGAGTTATCTTCTCTTGAGAGCAGGTATTGATTGTTACGTCACTTGTTGGTGAAAGTAACGTCATCAACATTTGAGAAAACGACGTTATTTTCTCGCACAAACCAATGACGTAACAATCAATACCTGTTCCCAAGAGAAGATAACTCTGCAATACGCAAAGACGGAATATAAAACAAACAAGTTAACGCAGAAATCTCATGCTTGATGTAAACCCAGTCAGAATGATTCCAGATACAGCTTATGTCCAAACACAGGTACTAGCCTCGTCTGTCAATACATCTATAATATAAACTGATAATAGTATGGGTGTATTGACAGACGAGGCTAGTACCTTTGGTCCAACCTCGGAGACTGATTGTCCGCCATATACCAGCAGAGGTATCCATTTCGTTACGTATTTCAATAATCACTACAAAAATATGAAGTAAGAAAGCTTCACATTAAAAAGTATCAGGTAGATGTAGAAAAAACGTAAACGTTGACTGCAACATATGGCCATTTTGCCTACATAATTATTCCCTACTAAACGTTCACTACTTCGGCTGATCGAACCTCTGGTTAACCCGTTCTTAGTATAACGGGATCGGATTGAATACTGCACTTGGTGTCTTGGGCGTCAGATCTGAATCTGAATATTCAAAATCATTGAGAAGGAAGAGAACTAGTCAATGCTACACATGATTTGGACAGTATGGAAGAACCACACCCACAAAAAGTGCAAGCGCATGCATATTGGAAAATCTACGAAGGAAGAATCAAAATCATATTCCATCAATAGAGTAATCTTGTCACAAACAGAATCGGTGAAAGGTATCGGCGTCACATATTAGAGTCTAACCTCTCAGTTGAAGATCATCAACGTGTATGCGTGTATGCTGTCAATTTTTAGTTTTCGCCACATTAGCATATATGTAATTTAGACATTTGGTCTTTTACTGAATACCATATTGGTTCAGCTTAGAATAGTGTATCTTTGCTTCTGTGATAATTTTAATGAAAAGTGTAAATGACCCTTTAATTGTATATATATTTAGTCAAATTATAGTAATTTAATAAGCTCAACTACTTTTATGCCTATGCTTACTCTGATAATAATTTGAATGCTCATTTGTTTTCTATTATATCATGATATTAACTAACCCTTTTACTAACAGAGGACCCTGTGGAAGATTAGCTTTGCTAAACAGGTTGTTTATCCTCAATAAATAAAGTTTATTATTATTATCAAATAAACTAAAGGTCGGTTCCATGTTTGCCATGCTGAGGAGATTCAAGTACATGGATGCAAACATATGTTTGCCAGTTTATAATTAGCATTGGTAAGGATTGGTTTGGTTTGGTTTTATTTTGTTTAACGTCCTATTAACATCTAAGGTCATTTAAGGACGTGTCTCCATGTGTGTTGTGTAAGCGTGCAAGTGTGTATGTATGCTGGAGACATGGTATGTTGGGGTACTTGCCTCCTTGTAATAGCGCGGATATGATGCCGACTTTATAGTGCTATATCACTGAAATACCATACCGAAGGCATCAAGCACAGCATTCCGCCCGGTCACGTTATACTGACAACGGGTGAACCGGTTGTTGCCATTACCCTCAATGCTGATCGTTAAGAAGGGAATAACAACTACCATTTTTAAGGGCTTTGGTATGTCCCGGCCTGGGGGTAGAACCCATTGGCTTCCTCGATGTTAAAGCCAGAAGTTAAGTATTGCCAACCTAGGCGCTAGGGGGGAAAAGGTAGTTAGAAGTAGAAAGAAAGATGAATATCCCAAATGTTGCAATGGGTGCAGCAGATTTATTTTGGTCGCTTTTGTGTCCCTAAGTAGAGGGCGCAAAAACGAATCCCCGATTCTGCAGGGGGTCCCACCTGGACTTTGCCAGCTATGTTTGGTCACAATTCAAATTCAAGGACATAAGAATGCTGGAAGGTGTCCGGGAAACGGATCGGGAAACAACAGCATACTAAAGCCATGGGATAGTTGGAAAGAGGAAACTCGAAAAAAAATCCACAACGGTCGGGCAAGGATTTGTCTCAGATAAAAGTGCTTCTCGCAACGAGTAGTGAATATATGGAATAATTTACGAGAGAGTGCAAAGACTTCGCCAAATTTAAATCAATTGGATCATCATTGAGCTCCACAGGAACTTTTGCATAATTATAAATTTGAAATTCATCATTTATCAGCTAGAGATGTGGTAAGACATATGAGCATTGTATTATTAAATGTACATTAATATTTTTAGTCTTGTGTCGAGGATCATAACTAGTCTCATTTGGATAGGAAAGCTCTTAGCCAAGCCTTCACTAGCGTCGGAAGCGTAATCTGATTTTTTCGGGATAATAACTTCCTTATCGGTAACCATTTGACCCTGGGTGGGATAAATACATCACACGTGTTGTAGGCAGAATCTGGACAAGTTGTTCAAGTCACTTTTTGCATCATCTTTGCTTTTTACAAAAATAATAGGCTAGCAGAATAATAAATCTTTTGAACTTCACAATGAAGCACGTTAAGTTATCTCTAATTTAGCATGTTCAAATTATTTCCTGATGTTCCTGTAAGATGTTGACACTCGTTCCAGTGTGTGTTGTAATGTGTCTCAATTAACCAAGTCACCACCTAGACCAAGTTAAGTCTAAGTTGCAAACAGGAAACCGGAGCACGTTCTGTCCATTTGTTGAATTGTTTGTTTAACTATTTGGAAGGCAGAGTCCATGCCTTTAATAAGATAATAATAGAAGAGCAAGCACATCCGTATTTGAAGAATTACTTAACGTTTTATGTCGGAAGATTTTAAGACCGAGCATCCGCCACTTTTGGCGACAAATCGTGGACAGGCAGTCTGGGTAAGTCCGGCCCCATTGGAATCACCATAATTATTACGTCAGAAAACATGCAACGTCATATTTTCCCGCCAATTTTACGACTTTCCACGACATGCATTCGCTGACGGAACCTGTCCCGGTATCGGAACCAAAACACGGTTTTCATGTTATACCTTCATGTGAAGCTGTCAGTGTGCTACAAGTATGACATATAAATAAGTAGCGATTCAGTTAACAGAAAGTTTGCAAAACTAGTTTCTGGAAAGATTTCTTTTCTATCCGCGCAAAAGTAACTTAATTTCTCCGTTTTAGTAATTTTATGATGGAGTTTTCCTCACTTTTGGCTTGAATGACTCGCCCCGATACATGAACTGTTAAGATCCTCAAAGTTGTAAATATTTGCTCAAATATCAGGGGTTGCTGGACTTACTCCGAGGCCGAACTTGCCCCGGTCTCTCCTACAACCGGTATGGCGATTTCAGTTTAAATAGAATCGCTCTCTTAGTCACAATTTCGGGTCAGTGGTATTTTAGCAAGTTTGATCTAAACCCCTTAAACGTCTTAGTATACTCCCTGATCAACATGATGCGTTCAAATATTCACCCTGTAACTAATAATGAAGTAAATGCCAGGCCTCTGTAAAATAGATGTATCGGCTTACTAGAGTGCTACCTAAATGTAAATTTTACCGTTATCAAGAGTTATCTTCCCAGTTCGTCCATTTGACTTCCGTTTGACGATATTTTCATTGACCTCTGTCAAACCATGCTACCATTTAGATCGTTGGGGACCCTTTCCCCGTCAGCGGTTACTAAAGCAGTAAGACAAACCTTTTTTGTACACTTTTTGGCTCATGTTTGTGTGATGCGTTGATGGATCTTATTGTTTTTCGTGTATATTGCAGACGGTATATACACCTGGCAAATGGATGTTTCGTTCATAGACATCATTGCAGACTAACACAGGTGTTATAACTGGTGTTATTATCATTATTATGTCTTGTTGCATATTGATTTTCTTGTATTTAATCAATGTTTCTTCAACCTTCATTTTAACGTCACCTTTCGTATGACATTGTCAATTTCAGATAAGGTACACACTTTTTGTGACACATCATGGGGCATCTGTCAGTTTTATGAGTTACTCTCTCAGGCCGGGTAACACCATTAAGCCTACCAAGGGTGATCAGACACTTAAAACTTCCCAGGCAATTGGGACAGATGTGGATCGGAACAGGTCAACATTGGTTCAGACAAATATTGGAATGAAAAATAAACAGACCTCCCTATTACAAAGGATTGTGAGAACATCAATACATCACATATGTAGATGTTGTAAAACTATCCTCGGTTGCTTTTTATGTTAAATATGTAACTGGAAATGTAGCATCCCTGTCAATGGTATATAGTACATGACATGCCTTATTTTATCAATATAAATTTAAATATTGCAATGGGGGAGCTGTGTAACAGCACAGAAAAATTAAATGGGTCAGGCCAATTTTTGATAAGAGGATAGTATTATCAATCTGTTCAGACTTTGCTATGAAAACAATGTTACTTTCAGTATTTGTCCGAGTAAATTCTCTCATCATTCTTACGATTACATAGTACATTGTACAAGGTTTCACGGTTTGCAGATCACGGAAATTAGTATTGAGAGGAAGGATACACACTTGGAACCGTACAACTTAAGGGATTAGAAAGTACATTAACCATGGGCCTTTTGGACATGGCATCTAATATTCAAGACATTTCAAATATTTGGGAACCTGTAATGGCATACTGAATTTGCTAAAAAAAACACAATTTTGTATAGTCCAGTTAGCAGTTTACAGTACCCTTATGGTGATATGATCCCTCACCCACATGTGAAAACAAATTTGTCTATGACTAATTTCCCAGAAAATGTCAATAAAAACTGCAGGGACAGCTCAAAAAATGTTGGGACTACGTATGAATGAGAAACATGTATTGGGTTTTCTTAATTTATTTTTGGCCTTAAAAGTTGCATCTATTTCAGTCGCTATATGACTACATTTCCAGTTGCTTTATTCAGTTAAATCTGCTGGCATCTTTTCATGGCTGTGATATTGCTGCTATTATCTGCTGCCATTTTCAAAATCCCTTTTTTATATATCTTTCAAACACTGTTGCACTGTTCTGATCTTGATAGCATTTCAAAATTTATTCTTTGAAATATAATGAACATTATATTATTTGTTGTGCTTGTCACTTCTCTTTTTTTAATTTTATTATTAATGATGAAAAGATTGTCAATTTCATTGTTCTTCTTTTATTTTGTAGAAAATTATGGATGTTATTGCATGAATAAAAAAGTCAAACAATAGGTCTGCCAAGCAAAATTTGTTGTTTGCATTTTGTTTTAGCTAGTTATCAGTATTTATAAATGTATCTTTCAGATCCTTAAGATCAAAAATGTGTACCTCGATACGATCATAACAAGGGTAGCTAACAGAAAGGAAGTGTTGAGTTAGAAGCACCATTAATGTATTTCTATTTTGAGACAAAGAATTAAAAGGATATAATATTCATATTATAGGTAACAGTACTGTTTTGTTGCGATTTCCAGACAGCATTATATTAATGTCTTGCTGCTGTCGTTAAATTTTAAGAAAAACATGCAAACCTTTTCCGACCTATCTAATATTATATATCTAATATTAGTATTAATGAACATTACACCAGAAACGTTCTAAACAAAACATAATAGATATCAAATAAAGGTCAGATGGTGAGGCAGAGACCAGAACCTACTTTTAAAATTTCTGACATCATATATATAGAATACTGTTACAACAATTATGAAAAAGATTTAATATGCTGATGTTACAGGATAAAACCATAAAGTTTGAAATACACTATTCTCCTGATAGATGTGTTTTAATCCAGTTCTTTGTTTTACAGTGGAAGTGTGGTGCAGCCCTGTGCAATGGCAAATATTCAACAGCAGCCTCTGCAACATTTACAACAAAGGTTGGTTTCCAGGTTTAAATTTTTACTAACAAAGAATCCAGTTAACAGCGTTAAATGTTTTCTTAAAAAATGTGTATTTCGGATGAATTTCCTTTGTCAAATATTTTTGTTATTCTAAAACAACAGCAAGTGCTGAATGACTGAATCTAAATATGATTACCCAGGGTACTTGCTTGATCGACCAGGAAAAAAAGGTTCCTTCTAAAGGCACTGCTGATATTCATCAGTTGTTTTAGTTGTGAATCTTATTAAAACTTATGAATAAAATGTGATTATTTCATTGTCGATAAAGAAACAAACATAATCAGTCACAAAGTATCTTCATTAAACAATGTTTTTCGTTGAACCACTTCACGTGGACATTTGAATATGGTCTCCTCCTGGTTTTAACAGCTGAAAAACATCAGGAAGACACATCTTCTTCTTTTTTTGTCAGGTTCTACTTAGTATCTGACAAATGAGAAGTGAGATTAAGGATCCCCACACCACTCCCAGAAATTGTCACTACCCATCCAAAACTGATTTTTCCAGCATAGCTATTGCTTTGAAAAGTTATTTCTGAAAATAAAATTATACCTTGTGGGACTATTTGAAAAATAATAAAGATGAAATAAACATAAAAATTAAAACAAATCCCGCGAAAGAACATTGTTTGAACACTGGACTTTAGATTGTTATACTATCGCTCTAACCAATTGAGCTATCTGGTCAATGGAAGTGTGTCCTGATCCAACTGCGCTACAGTTATATCCAAATGAAAGTAAGGGGATGTTACTGTTAATACAAAAAAACGTAGTTCAGTGGGACAGGAATCCACTGTATTATAAAAAATCAGGTCTCCGAGCGGAGAAGGGGAGAACCAACGTGGATTGTAGTAGGAATCTACCATGGATACCCAACTGCATTCACTAATGCTGCATCAAGGAAGATCAGCACGAAGAATAGGAAAGATGGTGTAACTACAACTAGATCACTAAATGACTGAAATCTAGATGTTTTTGCTCAATCTTTCATATTATTTATATTATTACATATAAAAGTTACAGCATGAAATGTAGATGTTTATATAATTATGGTCATTTTGAGACCAGTATGTTTCAACTTTAAGCATATACTTTTCAAAAGCTTCAAATTAAAGGTCCAATTTTTATACAATTTTGGTTCTTGCCCCAATACATCCCTTAACTAAACTAAAACATGTGCAAAAAAAAACAATTAAAACTGTACTTGACACACAAGCAATGCCATAACAGTAATCTTTACCCAAGGTCCATGGTGTGACAATCATGATAGTAAGATGTGAGTGACAGTGAATTCATGTTTATTTTCTGTTACAGGATTTTGACCTACACAAACTGGACATGGGTCCAGCCACAGAGGTTTCCACCACCAGGGAGGAAGCCATTCAGTTTTATAGGGAGATGCAGACCATCCGGAGAATGGAGACAACAGCAGGCAATATGTACAAAGCCAAGCAAGTCCGTGGCTTCTGTCACCTCTACTCTGGACAGGTATCTACTGGTTTAAACATGTCCCCTTAACTCTGGACAGGTATCTACTGGTTTAAACATGTCCCCTCAACTCTGGACAGCTAGATATAAACATGTGTCTATTTCAAGTAGATATGCTTGGAGGGTCAAGTACTTGATCTACACTGGACAGGCAGATGTATATATACACTTTTGTTTATCATGATCCAAACAGATGAACAAGTTTGTCCAGAGTTGTTCATTCATGATAGAAGATCGGACCTAGTAATCGGATGCTGCTTTCAGACCAGCCTTATAAAGCATTGCAAGGCCTGCATTTTATTTAAACATTTGCATGTCCACCAGGATTTATACCCGATAACGTAACATTTGAAAATAGACAAACTGGTTTGTTCCGCATAAACTAACAGGCCCCATGTAAACATGTGAAACTGATATTGTAGATTAAATCTAGATTTTCCAACATAAGTGATTTTATGAACAAGGGGACATTTATTTACATGTCACATGAGCAGCTGTTGTGAAACAGACCATTTGTATGGTGTGTTCAATTAAATTTTCATTGTTCATACTTTCTTTGATATTAGTAAACCCAAATCTCCACAACATGTGATAGCGGGTGTAAAATACTCCAATGCAGTGCTCTTGCTTGGTTTCTGATTGAAATAATGTTTGTTACAGGAGGCATGCTGTGTTGGTATGGAAGCGTCCATGACTCCTGAAGATGCAGTCATCACGGCTTACAGAGCTCACGGGTGGTCATACATTCGTGGTGTATCAATACTGGGAGTCCTGGCAGAGCTCACTGGTAGGACACTCAATATAGGGCAACGCTTCACAGTCCAAGCTCTATAATAGTGTGACTTCTGATCCATTAAATGCTACCATTTTAACTCATTTACCCCTGAAATGTCATAATGCACTATTCCAACCTTTAAAATGGAAGATTTCAAATGTGTCTTTAGGGGTGAATAAGTTAACAATTTGTTCTTCTATTCTACCCCAGTCAGGCTGTTTCACTATCCACTATCCAGACACTTAAAGCTGGAATAAAAGTAGGCTGGATGATTGAGACCCTATAGCGTAAAGAGCTTTCCATAATCTGTTAACATATGATGTAAATTTCTTAATTTCAATTCTTTTTAATTATTTAAAATATTAATTTTGATCTCTGTGATTTGTGCAGTTTATCATTTTCTATTGGTCGGAATGTATATCTAACCGGAGGGATACAAGTCAGTAGATTTCCATTTGATGAAGGATGTGAAATTTCAGCCATTTCAGTCCGAATTTATCGATCATACACTTTGACAAAATGCTTACCTCTGGTTGACCTTTTCACCAGAGTATGCATGTCCCCTATAGTGCAACTCACACTAAGATATATATATACATTTACTGCTTACATCCTGTGTTTCAGGCAAGAAGTCTGGCTGTTCCATGGGTAAAGGAGGATCAATGCACATGTATGGTAAAAACTTCTACGGAGGAAATGGAATTGTTGGTGCTCAGGTGAGAATATCTTTCATACAAATATTTAACAGATAAGAGGGGAGTATTTTATGTTAAATCTTGTCTAGGCAGTAGATTGTTTAACTGTTGAAGATATCTTGATTAAAACTTGGAAGTAAACCTATGTCACTCACTGAGGGTGTACTTAATGTCACTGTGACCTTCACCTCTGGGTTAAAGGTTAAATAAGTCCCAACAAATATGCATATAAATAAAACAGACATATTTTGTTCAAAAAAACAGATCTTTGGCTTAAATATGGTAAAAATGTCCATCATAAAACAAGAAAAAATATCTCATTCTCTTCTTCAGATAATGGTTAACAGGTATAAATTTGCATACATTAAAACTCGTTATAACGCCACTCGTTGCATTTGCTTTGTCATTTATTGCCAACATATTTCAAGGTCCCTTTTTCTCTTTTTATTAAGAACTCCCTTATAAGCTTCCTTCAATTTATAGTCAAACCTCTCTATAGTGCCAAAATGTCTATGAACACATGGGTGCAGTATATTACAACAAGGATTTACTGGTAATAAAATAAATGAAACAGTACTGAAATATATGCCAAATTACATCATGTGTACAACATCTTTAAATTTTCAAAAAGTACTTACAGGTATCACATTATTTTGAAATAAAATCTGTGAGGGGTTCGGACAGTTCTCTTTTGTTATTGATGTGATTTCTTGGGAGAAATCAATCATAAAACAGGAATTCTCTGGTGAAACAGTCAATTAATTTTGTGTATGTTTGTAGTTTATGTCTGGGTAAAAAATCTGAAGAAATTTTGTATGTATGATGGTGATGTTGTACCAAGTGATGCGTCTGATCTGTAATAAATAAAATCATACTTTAGCCTTTATTGTAGATATTTGTCATTGCCAACCGTCAGATATTGCAGCATTCACAATTCTATCCTTTGGTCAATTGTATTTGTAAATCCATCCCAGAAGATACTCGACTGGCATTCCATAATTTTTGTATATTTAGGTTCCACTTGGTGCGGGAATTGCCTTTGCAATGAAGTACCGAAAAGAGAAGAACATATGTGTGACTCTGTATGGAGACGGAGCAGCCAATCAAGGACAGCTCTTTGAAACATTCAACATGGCCAAACTGTGGAACCTGCCATGTGTGTTTGTGTGTGAGAACAATGGCTATGGCATGGGCACCAGTGCTGAACGAGCCTCGGCCAGCATCGATTACTACACCCGCGGCGACTACGTACCGGGCATAAAGGTGGGTGTGAAAATTGGATGGGAAAGGACAAAGTATTACAGAAGAGCCTGTCAGAGTATTCTAAGGATTAATGTATTCCATAACGATTTCTATAGAAACCATACCTTTCAAGTGGACAATATTTTAACCGATTTCTCATGTGGTTGACTATGAATGATAACTCTTCTATCCTGAACTTCGCTGTAATTAATCTCAAGGGAGACAACTACAGTAGAATTGGTATTTTTCTGTTTGAAGTTGAGTCATGGGAGATAACTCCTCCAACCTTTCCTGTGAGTTTAATCTCAAAGGCAGGTAATATTAAAACGACAGCAGTCAGTATTTTGTAAGTTTGCATACAGTCATTTTTCATTATATTATCCTACATAGAAATACAGATTTTGCTACAGTGATTTTCAGAAGTCTGTTTGCATTTCAAAATGACTGTAGTTCAGGTATTAAATGTTAATACATACTAGATTTATTGATTTTAGTTTGTTAAAAAACAACATTTGAAAGTAATGTTTTTGTGACATTCAGTGCGACGGTATGGATGTGCTTGCTGTTCGTGAGGCAATGAAGTTCTGTAAGGACTACGTATTGAAGAACGGCCCTATCCTACTGGAAGTAGCCACATACAGATACAGTGGTCACAGTATGAGCGACCCAGGCACAAGGTAGGTTCGAGGACAACGCAAGTTGGGGGCACGGAGTCAGGACTTGTTCATTTGTTAATCTTAGCAACTTTTGCTTGAAATAATTGCTGTTGAAATCAGTGCTTGGGTTCTGTTTCTCCTGTTTTAATGGAAGTCTGGAGGTACCCATAGAAAATTGATCTACAGTATTTGTAAACAGATCATAAATATATTTTACCAACACATATTTTGATCTAATTATGTTATATTATAATTTAGAGAGAAACCCAGTTCTATGGTTAAGTTGTTGACATGAATCAGGTGGATCCAGGAATTTTTCAAAAGAAGGTGAGGGTGGGAGGGTGAGGCTTCAAAACTGTCGTGATGACATGAAGGGAGAGATATTCAAATGTTTTAACCTATAATAGCTATATGGTGATAAAAAAAAGTTGCATGGTCGTAAATCCATGATGTGGGATATAGTAACATGGTCATAGCTACATGATGTCAGATAGTATTAACATGGTCCTAACTCCTGTTCATATACATGTACATGGTTGCAGATAATATTAACATGGTCCTAACTCCTTGTCATATACATGTACATGGTTGCAGATAGTATTAGCATGGTCCTAACTCCTTTTCATATACATGTACATCGTTGCAGATAGTATTAACATGGTCCTAACTCCTTTTCATATACATGCACATGGTTGCAGATAGTATTAACATGGTCCTAACTCCATTTCATATACATGTACAGGGTTGCAGATAGTATTAACATGGTCCTAACCAGTGGCGGATCCAGAGACCTATCTGGGGGGGTTTCCAAATTTCCTGGGGGGGTTTCCACATGGGGAAAAATTGAGGAAAATGGTGAAAATACATGATTTTTAAAGAAAATTCTCGGGGTGGGGGGGTTTCCTGAAGCCCAGAAAACCCCTCTGGATCCGCCACTGCTAACTCCTTTTCATATACATGTACAGGGTTGCAGATGGTATTAACATGGTCCTAACTCCTTTTCATATACATGTACATGGCTGCAGATAGTATTAACATGGTCCTAACTCCTTTTCATATTCATGTACAGGGTTGCAGATAGTATTAACATGGTCCTAACCAGTGGCGGATCCAGAGACCTATCTGGGGGGGTTTCCAAATTTCCTGGGGGGGTTTCCACATGGGGAAAAATTGAGGAAAATGGTGAAAATACATGATTTTTAAAGAAAATTCTCAGGGGGGGGGGGTTTCCTGAAGCCCAGAAAACCCCTCTGGATCCGCCACTGCTAACTCCTTTTCATATACATGTACAGGGTTGCAGATGGTATTAACATGGTCCTAACTCCTTTTCATATACATGTACAGGGTTGCAGATGGTATTAACATGGTCCTAACTCCTTTTCATATACATGTACAGGGTTGCAGATGGTATTAACATGGTCCTAACTCCTTTTCATATACATGTACATGGTTGCAGATAGTATTAACATGGTCCTAACTACTTAATCACAAATACAGTAACGTAGTCCTTTCTACATGGTTGCAGATATACATGTAGTAATATGATCAGAACAGCATAGTGGCAGATATAACCCTATGGTTCCAACTACATGTTGACAGAACAGTGTACCGATATTATAACATGTTGTCTCCTTCACAGCTACCGTAGTCGAGAGGAGGTGAAAGAAGTACGCGAGAAGAAAGACCCCATCACCACATTCAAGGAAAAGCTACTATCATCCAACCTGGCTACTGCTGATGAACTTAAGGTAAACAAGGAAGGAAACTTTATCAGAAAGTTAGTTAAGAAACATAACCATTGATAAATCATGTGAGATTTTGATTCAGTAAGACACTCCTACAACTTTTCAGGTTGTCAGTGCCAGGAGAAATGTGTTATCAGATATTAATCTGAGTTTTGAAAACCCAAAGCAGTAAAGCTGATGTTGTAAATGTCTTGTAAATGTCTAGTAATTTTATGAGTATAGGGTGGTCAGATAGCGCATTTGCCTCTCACCAAAGTGGCCAGGGTTCGATTCCCTGATTGGACGTGAAAAGGTATGGGGTCACCTGCCCGACCACGTGGGTTTTATCCGGGTACTCTGGTTTCCTCTCACAGTAAGACCCTCCGTACTTGCATCTGGGCCAAAAAGAGTGATTAGTAGAAGTTGTAAAAACTTGTTTCATAATTGTTGTAAAATAAATAAAGTTTATATTAAGTATATCATTTTGCTTTTACAGAAAATAGATACTGAGGTACGCAAAGAAGTGGAAGCCGCAGCAGAACTAGCTAAGAATGACACAGAACTTTCTGGAGATTATCTATACAATCAGATTTACAACCAGCCTCCAGCAGACTATATAGTACGTGGTTGTGACCCCATGACAACCTCGCCGTCCAAGTAATGAATCGGAACCCCAAAACATGATTATCTCACAAAGAATAAGATTTTAAAAGCTGGAACAGAGTGTTTTGAAATCACTGAAGATTTTAACCCATTTACTATAATATCTGTTAGATAGACGTGATAGAATCTTTACCAGTATATTGGCTACTGTGTAAGCTGATGTGTTGGACTTATAATGCTCTCACCCATTTCAGTGAAGCAAGGTTGCAATAGAGGTAAACAAAGGGAGCTAACCGCGGACAAGTTAAAACAGTGGGGAATAAATTGTGCTATTTATGCAGGTAAAAGCATTACTGTATATCGAAAAATGTTCACCTTTTCTCCCTCTGTAATGAAGGTGAACATATTATTATAGCGAACATTTGTAAACAACATACACAGTAATCAAATGTGATGGACAAATTTAATATTGGGCAATAATGGATTTTACGGTCGAAAGGCGAAAATGTCCTGGTATACAGTATAAAGTGAGGCAGATTGCATAGTTAATATCCTGTGTGGGATCATCTATAAATTCTGTGACACGTGATCCTTTATATGGAATGTGAGTGTAATCTCGTGTGTGATGTTTATATACGATGTTCTATAGGAGGACGTGATCTAATAGAGGTTATTCCATTTGTTCTTGTTTATGGTTTATATATTTATTTGATTGAGGAATAATAGATGTTTTAATGCAATTCTTTAATCCTGGCGACTCATCTTTGACTTACTTATGTGGTTAACATAAAATCATTTCAATTACCGGTACATTTAGTGCTATATGAGACTGGATCAACTAAACTCAGTTTTTTATGTTATTTTGCAAAAGTATTTTCCAGGCTACTTTGTGTCTCAGACTTTTCTTTCAGCTCCTGTGTTAGACTTACTGGTGTTGATGATAAAGCTGATTTTAATCAGAATGTGAATATTGGCGAAAACTTAACACCTGTGAAGTCATTCATTATGCTGTACTATTAAAGAGATTATTGACCGTGGGGTTTTAAAAGAAGCCTGCAAGGTTACCTAATGAGAAAAATGTGCAAAAAACATGTGTTTTAAAGGAAACTGACAGGCTGTGGGCATTCCCTTAAGCCTTTGAATTTCACCTTTATCTGCCACTGTTATCTGATAATAATATTTTGTTAGCATCTGCTGCTATATTTGACTGTTGATGAGACCTTTCTCGAGCTTTAATGTTGCTGGATAAAAGAGACTACAAAATTTTCAAGGATTATGATATACATCCCGAAATATCTTTGTATTCAGGTTAAATATGTGATAGTGCCCATACCGCTTTCACTACCTTGAGGCACAACAACTGAGGGTCTATTGCCAGTAGAATATGGCAACAAAGTTTATGCTGACAAAAGTATTCTATGCAGAGTAAATTAATTCTCCACTGTACATCATTACAGTGCAGGTAAAGTAATGCACATTATGTAACACTTTTCTGTCATATCCAGGAGTCGATGCTACTGTGGGTGTGTATGTTGTATACAGTTTACAAAATGTTAAGTCTCCAAATACATTAAATCCAACAGAATACATACAAAACAGATTTTGTTTTCTTTGATCATGTGAACATTACTTTAACTGATTATAACATTCACATTGGCATGCTGTCAAATATATGTTTATCATCTGAGATTTTCAATTTTAAAGGCAGTTTAACTCTGTATACTTTGCATTCTTCATGGCATTCATCCCATAAACAACTTCCTGGAAGTTCTGCAGTTACAATCATTCTGCTATATTACAATAAGCTTGCCGGTAAATGAAAAAGATTAAATTGTAACAGTTTCAATGGACATATCAGTTGAATGGCTATTCATTTCAACTACAATATAAACCTGGCATGGGTAAGACTACAATTTGGGCATGTGTAAGACTACTATTTGATCATGTGACATTGGCGTGTGTAAGATTTCAATTTGATCATGTGACATTGGCGTATATTGGACTTCAATTTGATCATGTGACATTGACGTGTATAATACTTGAATTTGATCACGTGACATTGGCGTGTATGATTCTTTAATTTGAACATGTGACATTGGCATGTATAATTCTTTAATTTGATCATGTGACATTGGCGTGTTTGACTAACATTTGATCTTGTGACATTGGCGTGTGTAAGACAACAATTTGACCTTGTGACATTGGCGTGTGCAAGACTACAATTTGATCTTGTGACATCGACGTGTATAAGACTTAAACTTGATCATGTGACATTGGCGTGTATAATACTTTAATTTGATCACATGACATTGGCGTGTTTAAGACAACAATTTGACCTTGTGACATTGGCGTGTGCAAGACTACAATTTGATCTTGTGACATCGACGTGTATAAGACTTAAACTTGATCATGTGACATTGGCGTGTATAATACTTTAATTTGATCACATGACATTGGCGTGTTTAAGACAACAATTTGACCTTGTGACATTGGCGTGTGCAAGACTACAATTTGATCTTGTGACATCGACGTGTATAAGACTTAAACTTGATCATGTGACATTGGCGTGTATAATACTTTAATTTGATCACATGACATTGGCGTGTTTGACTATCATTTGATCTTGTAACATTGGCGTGTGTAAGACTACAATTTGATCTTGTGACATTGGCGTGTGTAAGACTACAATTTGATCATGTGACATTGGCATGTATTGGACTACAATTTGATCATGTGACATTGGCGTATATTAGACTTCAATTTGATCATATGACATTAGCCTGTTTGACTTATCATTTGATATTTTGACATTGGCATGTATTAGACTACAATTTGATCATGTGACATTGGTGTGTGTAAAGCAATCAATTTAACATTAGAGTGTGTAAAGCCTTCATTGCATCCTGTCTACATTGGTCTTTGTAGGACTTTATTGATCAAGTGTCGCTGGTACTCTCCAGATTGACCGTTTCCTTTTCGTATCTGCCTTGTGTAGTTTAAAGAATGTCAAGTACATGTTGGTTTTAAAGTAATGTACTCTGTCACTTTCATCATACGAATTGCCAGTGCGTCTACGAGCCCCCTCGTCTCGATTCAGAGCAGGTCCGCTGGGGCGTATCCATACTGCTTCCTTTATGCGACACTTGAACAAATGTTTCTCTCTCTATCCAGTACTTTAATTGGAGTTATCTTGGGCAATAATATGATTTTTCTGTATAGCATTGTCTTTGGTTTCCTTATCTTTCCGATGGGTGTTCATAACTAAACACCGGACCCTAAATCACTTCCAGATTCTCAGGGGTTTCGTATGAACTAGGTGGGTTTAGTTTGTGTGAACTACTAGGTAGTTTTCACGTGAAATACACTGAGAAGTTTATGAGTTATTGAGAGAGTATGGAATCCAGATTTTGTTCGTATAAACTACACAGAGATTTTCGTGTAAACTACATAGATGTGTTCGTGGAATCTACATAGTTTCCGTGTAAACTACAAAGGTTTTCGTGTTAACTACATATTTGTTTGTTTGTTTGTGTTTAAGTTTAAACATATTTTATTGTACATACAAATAGATTGGACAACATGTTATAAATAAAGTCCTCTCCTAGATACATATGGTTAATACAATGTATATGTTTTGGGGGAACGGGAGGAGGATAGGATGGAGGAGGAAGGGTGTGGAGGGGGGGGGGGGAATTTGGGGGGTTACCTAGAAAAGAAATCGTGTAAACTGTGAAAAGAATCCGCTTTTGAATAAATTATACAAAATTTCATGACATGCAGCCGAGTATAGTAATTTTATAATGAACAAGATCAATGTAACAAAGAGATCAGGCAAAATAATGAAATGCAATTTCATAAACATATATAACAACTTACAAATAAAAATAAGGAATGATGATTATAATTATCAAAACCTATCGCTGGATTTGATGTAATGATGCACTTGTCTAAAAACTTTTGTACTTAATTCTACCGAAAGTTGAGTATTACTAAACAAAAGTAATTCTAAATCAAAATCAACATGCAAGGCATTCAAATTTTGGAACAGGATGCGTCTTTCGTCGTTAAAAAGTAAGCACTCACAAAAAAGTGAAAGGCATTTTCACAGGGATGGCCACAATTACAAACTGGCCTATCAAGAAGATGTACCCTATAAAGATCTTATTTCAGTGGACTACACTGATATCTAAGTTTTGTATGCAAAATATTTAATTTACGTTCACCGAAATCAAAGTAGATTGGCGGAGGAGATAGTACGTTTGAAGTTAACAAGTTTTTAAAAGAAGTCAATGATCGTACTGAAAGGTCAAATGAATTCCAAATGCGAAGAGTTGAAGGTATAAAAGATGAATTTGTTAGAGAAAGCCTGAAAGGAAGAATTCTATAATCTTTATTGTTTCTAAGGGTGTAACGGTTATTTTCTGCAATGGTAGACGGCAATAGATCATTTAAATAGTCCGGAGTTAATTTATTGTGCATCTTATACAAAAGTTGGAGTTTCCTGCGTTTTCTTCGATTCGAAAGAGTTTCTAGACCAGATTCAAAAAGTAAATCTACGAATAGCTTCTCTTTGGGCTTTCTCTAACATTTCTGTTTCATAAGTTGTACGACCATCCCACAATTCACAAGCATTTTCTAAAACTGGTAAAATAAAGGATTTATAAATCTTTAAAAGATTATCTCGATTCAATAAGTATTTGAGTCTACGTAAGACGATGACTTTTTTTCATAACTGCAGTATATATTGCACGAATATGATCCCCCCATTTTGCCATTGAATTAAAAATAACACCTGAATGTTTATGATGATCAGTAAAATTTAAACATTCGCCATTAAATTCTAAATCTAAATCTTCATTAATTTCAACCGAGTTTGAAACAAAAATTACCTAAGTTTTTTTCTGGATTGAATATTACTAACCAAGTTTGGGACCTATGCATTAAGAGACTCGAGATCTCTATTCAGAACCGTTTGGATTTCTAGACACGAAGAGGATGATTATAACAAGGAAGTATCGTCTGCAAAAAGACGAGCGGTTGACTCATAAACATATATCATTAACAAGCAATATCATTAAAATAGATAAAAAAAAAAAGAGGTCCAAGAATCGAACCCTGAGAGACACCTGCTTCAATGAAACCTAAGTGGGAGTAAGTATTATTCAAAACGACTTTTGTTTGTGTTTAACGGCCCATCGACTGCTTTGGTCATTGAGGGCCATGTTGATTTTTTTTTTAAACAAACATGTGAGTGGCGAAGATAAAATCAGAAAAAAATGTTCATTTTTAAAAGTATTCGCATTGTATGTGTAGATAATTAAAATAAAAAGGGGGTTAGAATAACAAGAGATAACGAATAGATGATATGGACTATGTGATATATATAACGTCAAAGGGGGTAAGGTGGGTTAAAAGACATCAGAGTCTATAGAATAGACCCATGTTTTTCAAATAGTTAAATAATGCCTTCGAGTCCACGGAACTGAAAAGAGTTTTCATATCCGGGACTCGAAAGTAGTTATCACGAATGTTTTTGAAATCGGAACATTATATCAAAATATGTTCCACTGTAAATGTAGTGGTATGAAGGTGGATCTGGTACGAATGAGTAGGATATGTGTGCCCAGTACGTAGCCGAGAGAGAACAACTTCCTCTCTACGATCTTTCCGACTGGGAACAGATGATTTAAGTTTCGGTTGTACTTCAAAAAGTGTGTTGCCGGTTTATAATATGTATATGGTAGTTTGATATTTGTTTGTTCGAGATTTAACGCATTTTATGCTTCCCTGTCAACAAATTCGTTGACTTTAATTCCGACATGGCTCGGAATCCAAATAAAGTTATTTTAGATTTTTTTAAGATACGAGATATTCGAAAAGCAAGGTTTTGTACGAGTGTGTTTTTAGGATCTCGTAACTGTAAACTCTGTAGGACAGATAGAGAGTCTGAACAAATGATTGCCTTTTTAATGCGGTGTTCATCGATATGGTCGAGGGCCAAACCAATGGCTCATGCTTCGGCAGAAAAGATGGAGGCACCGTCTGGTAGTCGAACTGAAGTGCAAGAATTAGCAGTACAGCAGGCTGCTGCCACTTTCACACCTTCTTTGGAACCATCGGTGTAAAGTTGTGTATGAGAAGGGAAATCCGAAATTCATTCCCGAAAGAAGGATTTGTGTTCTTCGGGTATCACACTGGATTTCCCTCGCTCGTGTAATGTGAAGTGAAAATCAGGTGTTTGTATGGTCCATGGAGGAACATCAGATATGTTAAATTCAGCTATGACGGTCAACTTTATGTTGAGTTCTTGCAGGAAATTTGAAATTCGGATACCAAATGTTGGCAGAAGTTTTGGGTTTTGCGTAAATATGTTTTGGTATTTTGGGTTGAATACTTGGTAAAAAACAGGATTTTTAGGGTTTGATTTTAATTTAGATGCAAACTGTAATGCAAGTTTTTTCCTTCTGTCATAAAGGGATGGTTCGCTTCCACGTACAGGTGTTGTTCGAAAAGCTCTAGCCCTTGGTTATGGATTGGGTCTAGCATCTGCAGGTAAGAACTGCGCGCCGACCCGTATACCATAGAACCATAAT